TGAGAAGGTGTTGCAGTAGTGCTGTACCATATTTTTCCGGATAAATGGTTGCGTTCAGCCGCGTTTAAGTGAGTGAGAATTTTATTTCCGTGATGTGCGGGCATCATTGAGATGTCATCCATTTGTCACTCCTCCAAGGAATCGTTGGTTTTTCCTTCCCATGAATGAGTTGTTGAGCGTCAGCTGCCAAAAATGTGTGTACATTACAGTTTTCTACCATATACCTCATAATTAATTCTGAATCTGTGCGTTCATATACAATATTCTGCCTATAGGTATCACAACTTTGGGTGTAGGAGAATCCCCCCGATTCTAATCCCCCCCGCCTCTGTTCCCCCCAAATAAAAATCCCCGATCTTAAAATCCCCAGTCACAAAAATCCCCAAAATGAAAATGCCCGATTTTTAAAATCCTGAGTGTTATTTTCCCCAATTTTAATTTCCCAGCTTTTTGGTGAAATCCCTGATAATAAAAATCCCCGATGTACAATTTCCCCGAAAAATAAAAAAACTGATGGTTGGAAAATTTTTTTTTCTTATTTCTGAGTGACAAAAATTGAATTTAACAAGTAATTGAATAACAACTAAAAGAACGTAGAAATTAAATAGAAAACGTAAAATTTGAAAGAAAAAAAAGAAACAAATAAGTAAAAATTGAAAAAATGACAAAAAATGTAGAGATAAAAAAGAAACCGCATCAGCAATAAAAAAAATTATTAATTGTATCTCAGTTTCACTGCTTTAGCTGTTTCCTTAAAAAAAATTTCCTGGCTAATTTTGAGCCTGTGAAAAATTGACACAGATTCTTGGAATGACTTGTCATTTCATGAGGACATTTATATACCGTCAAAGGATTTGGGGTTCTCTTACTCTTAGTTTTTTTACCCATGAGGTAATCAGTTCTGGTAACCAAGGATAAGTTTCCTTTCTTTAATTCTTTTCCCTCCCAACAAAAAAAAAAAGAAAAAATCGAATCAAGGGGGAAAGTTTGGGAAGAAAAGATTATCTGGTCTTGTGGAATTCTAGGATAGATTTCCGAGCATCATTAACCGCATTCCTATTCTCGTCTCTAAAACCTGGTACAGTATATATTTGCAACTTTAAAAAATTGAACTTCATCATTGCAGCATCGTTGCGTATACCAGTATATATGCTCACACTGTACTTGGTGGGAAACAAAGATTAGATTTCATTTCAAAGCCGTCTGTAAAATTTTTTTCATTTTCGGTGATATTTTGCATTTTAGCGGATTTTGCATTTTCGGGGATTTTAGTGAGTAGGGATTTTTATTTTGGGGCAATTAGACACCAGGGGAATAAACGTCGGGAATTTTAAAATCGGGGATTTTTGAGCGGGGGGATTAGAATCAGGGGGATTGTCACCCCTGATTCTTCATGGCGCTTCTTGTAATGGTAATTCAGAATAAGAAATATTCATTATTATACATTTACATAATAATAATAATGTTCTTCTGAAGAAATTAGCGTCCAACAATGACCATTGGCTTCTGTTAATTTTCTTCTTTTTGTGTGGTCTTTTATGAAGTTTTCTGGAAGCACATTTTCTTTATTATAATTTTGTTCATGCAAAATGTGAACTCAACCAATGGATCTCAACTCATTTGTGAACTCAGTCGGGCCGCGGGATGTTTTCTCCTGCACCCATGGGGAATTCCACGAAATTTAGCGTTCCTGAATCAGAATCCACAAATTTGAGATTTTCTGTTTTACTGCTTAATGCGAAGGTTCCAGCTTAAGGGTTTCAAGGACGATCGTGTAAATCCTGGTTACTGTTGGAACAATTGTAAACTTTCTCCAACAAAAAGGAAGGCCAACGAATGTCCCTTGGAGGTGGAAACAATCAGGGGTTCAGATAACATTCGTTCCATCCAACTAAATTTCCAAGTAACTCAGGAATATCTTCTGCATTTGAGCTGATTTGCGGTTGCTTTTTCCCTAAGGTCAGTCGCTCTCGGAGGTGTTCCTGATGTTGAAGCTCGATTTGACTTGTGTTAAAGCAGCTTACTTGATTCTGCTCGCGACTTTGTTGGAAGTATGTTTGACGATTGCTCTACCGCCGTCGCCGGTAGTCAAAGTAGAAAACGTCAAGTCACAGCTCAATATTAGCAAGGATGAGTTTTATCCTACTTCGGATAATAATGAGGAAGACGTCGAGTCCTTTTACATCGACGATGACGGAGCGCGAACTTTGAGGCAGATCGATGTGAATAGTGAAATTGACGAAGCTTTTGAGGTATGGTATTCCGTAGGCTATCTCGTGTCATGAACAGTTTTTTTTTGGGGCCAGTTCCACAGTGCCCTTTTCAACTTATCAGGCAATGCATCTGGGAAACACTTAACTAATGAATTTACACTATTGGTTAAACGGGCCGTTAGATGTTCTTTGCTGCGGGATTCGAAGGATTCAATTCTCGTGTCAGTGCCAATAATAGTGTTTGACAAAATGTTGGTGATCTATTTTATCACTGCAAGATTATATATTCTCTTAGGACGTTTCTTCGGTCGATAAAAGTAGAGTATTTTTTCTCATACGTAGAAAATCAATTTTGTCAATCTGAATTGTGGAATTTCACTTTTATCTAAATCGTATTTTATTACTGGTGAGGTTTTCAACGAGTCATTCAACAATTTCAAACCATAACACGGGTTTTTTAGATATGAGATGATAAACGCATCGTCTAACATCGATGTAATTCCAGCAAAGCAGAAAATTTCTTTTCGAGAGTATATGGGCGGCAATAATTTTTAAATATTATTATTGTAATTTTTCTGCGGCGCCCACTCGATTTCGCGCACGATCAGGAAAAAAGAAGCTCCATAAATAAAGTAAGACTTTTTTTTTCAACAATATCAGAACCGTAAGTGATACTGTACTCTGGAACTGACCCCATTATCTCATGTTGAACGGTTTTACATCCAAAATTTACGTTCAAAAAACTTTCAGGAAGGAATTGAAGCAGAAAAAGATGACCTGAGTCAGCCCCCGGTGAGACCAATTGGACCCAGAGACATATTGGATGCTGTACTGAAGTCCGTGTTTGGTGGTGAGGAGAGTGGGTTTGATTCGTTGACGAGGTTCTTCACGTCCTTGGCTCACAATTTTGGAATGGACGTCACACTTACTGATGACAAGGGGAACAAAATGTTGAATGCGCCCATGGCAACGGGTGTTGGTCGTTGATCTTGATACATTTCCTGCACGTTGTTCAAAATTTTCTTGGAATTCGCTTGTTTTTAAACATGTTCTTCCCACCTGACAGGTATACAATTAGAAAGAAAAAAAATGGTGTCCCGCGTTTTTGTGTTGTTTCTGGCGGTTTTTGTGTTCGCGGAAGGGCAGGTTCCACCCGCATTACAGCCCAATTTCAATGCTGATTTGTCACAATCTCAAGTCCGAGGAGAAACATACGCCGGTCCACCAGAGGGACATGAATCCAGTACGCCTGATAAACCGCACAAAAATGAGTTCAACTTGAATGATTTGTTCAGTCAGATCAACAGTCAAGCGCCCTTCACCTCACCGCCGGATATTCTATCCGTAAGTTTACCTGCGTCACCATTTGCGCACAAGCGTTTACGAATATTGTAGCTTGTATCATAAGCTGTACACCAGCGGTCTCTCTTGAAATTGGGTGGGTGGGATGACTGACAATTGACCAACTTTGCTTTTACGTTAATGAAGCATTTTTTGTCATTTTTAAATCTTTTTTTTCATAAAGGCTGATTTCCTGGGTGCATTTCAATGCTCATGTATTTTCGATTGTACCTGCAGTCACCCACGGTTGGAGAGACCAACGCGCAGCAGAAGCCTTCTTCTGGATCTACAAACAGCCTTTTGAATTCTTCAATTTTGCCTGCACTCACGAATGGAGGGAATCTCATAGGAAGTCTTAATCCGTTGGGTAACCTGGGTTCATCTGCACCATTAGGCACAACAGCAGGATTGTTGAACTATCTGCTATCAAATGTCAACATTGCTAATGCAGCACTTGGTATCAACCATTTGGCTCCTGCCGGTGCGGTGCTGTCAAATCTTGGTTCGATTGGTACAAAGCCCGGTGTCAATGGTGCCGGCCTACTTCTCAGTCTACTCACTGGAGGCTTGAGAGGTGAGTCATATCCAATGCTAAAAGTTCTCTTTTTTCACATTTTCAAGTGAAGTGACATCTGTTTTCAGATCCTAACACTCGTGGAAACTCTGTAACACGTCAAGAGGGCGCTCTTGGGCTTCTAACTAATTCCAACGCTGATCTGGCTTCCTTGAGTCCTGAGGATATCCTTTCGACGTTGATCAATGGTGCCAGCACAGGGCCTAATCCTTCGGCTGGTCTCCTGAATCCATCCAATTTAGGACTGGGTTTCCCTGGGACCGGGTCTGCATCTCTCTTAGAATCTCTGGGAGGTTTGTCTAACATAGGCTCCGGCTTGGGATCTCTCGTTGGCGCTTCGGGTGGATTAGCATCTTTGTTGCCGTTGATCTTGTATCTGCTGCCTCTGCTCAAGCAGTCCTCTGTAGAATCCAGACAGGGGAACTTGAGTCTGACTTTTTTTGCTAAATTATATAACTCGTATGTTCTGTCGTTTTGTGATTAGCTGATCAGCTGCTGAATCTGATTTCCGGGAACAACATCAACTCGCTCTTGAACATTGATGCGTCATCATCTGAATCCTCCCCACTTGGTGACTCGTCTCTCGGCGGTGTCTTATCTTTTCTGTCAACTCTGTTCGGCATCCGTCCTGGACAAGCTGGTTTGAATCTGGGAGAGCTGAATCTCCTGTCCACCATTTTGCGGGGAGATCAAATTCCTAACGAATATGTTGAAGATATGAAAGCGCGCCAAGCTGCTGGTGTACACGGAAGTTCGGGTAATTCGTTTGGTACAGATTCAGCTGCATTGACCAATGCTCGTGTGGTTGAAAGTGCCACCGGGAATGTCGGTGGAGTTATGCAAGCTTCATCTAATGTCCTGCAGCAATTATCTCAGTTTTTGATCCCGGGCAAGATCAGAGGGTAAGTTTGGTTCTTTTCAACTTATCCTTAGACATTTTTGAACGGTCATATGTATCCTGATTCCCCACTGCTGCATATTGTTTATTCCGGTCTTTCATTTCAGTGAGGGTTTCACCGGTGACGTGAATGCTCCTGCCCCCATCAACGTCAACAACATGCGACCAAATTGACATCATGTGATGGTTATATTTATTGTAATGTGATTTTTTTGACATTTTTATAATAAACTGCTGTTTTTGCTGGTTCATTATTCTCCGTGGATTATTCTTTTATGCTCTATGCTGGTACGTGCATTGATGATGCTTCTGTATTTGTAGATGTGCTTCTCAAAAGTGTTCGTTACTTCGGTGATGTACGCTGCTTTACTGGGAGGAATCGTATTTGGGGCTCATTTGAACAGTAGTGATGAACGAGATGTGGATCTTTACGTATCGCAGGATATCTTTGGTGGTTTTCCTTTTGTGGAACCTCCTGGCGTGAATGTCCATGGCTCTAGGCCGTATGATCCTGGTGCATTTAAGTTGGTGACTTACTTTTCCTGTAATACTGCTACTGGTGATTGTATTCGAAATTTTGAAATTTTCTTTTTTGTTGCTATATATAGGATGGCGCCGAAGATTTGCCGGATTTCAACAAAGACAAAGATTTGTTGCTGTTGAAAACTAGAAGTAATCCGGAGGAAGATCGTCAGGACGAAGTTCGAGTTGTTCAGGATATTAAGAGAGGCACGGGTCACATTCAACAACGTGTTCACGAACTGATTCAGTGTGAGTGGCCCTTTTACACAATTTTTCCTTAAACTGTCTCCTCAGTTTATACCAAAAATGAGGTTTTTGAAGATATAATAATGAGGATGTCATGAAGTATTGAGAGGAAATGGTGGTTGCCTTTTTTCTTGGCAAACTAGGGGTATTTATACGTCTGGTTAAAAAATCACATCTTACGAATTTTCAATATGACTTGATTGTCCGCAAGGGGTATCAGAAGGTATTGTGAGTGGTGATTTTGTCAAGTCTGATTGATATTGTTCATTCAATCTTCCGATTTATCCCTGTAGATTTGTACGGTTTGGATGAAGAGAGTTGGGCAGATATTCTCGGTACTTCCGGAAGCGGGCCGAGTCGTCCGTTTGGTCCAAGTCCTCTTGGTCCTTTGTTGCGATTCTTGAGTGACGTTATCCCTCCCAGTGTCCCTTCTGCTACAGCACTTTTCATCAAGTTGCATCCTGGGGTTAATCTTGCCCAAGCCCCTTCGTAAGTTTGCATTGTCTTTTTCTACGGCAGCCGTTGTATGCATGGTTTTTGTTTATTAATGTTAGTGGCGTATAGATGTCACATCATCTTTAACAATTAAGTTTCGTACGAAAATAATTCCTACAGCTCTGTTCTTCGTGGACTTTTCAGATTCGATAATTATATTACTGGATCATTCTCACTTAAATAAATGATTCAAACTTACATTTTAAAGCTCCTTTATGAATCAACAGTTCTTCTGTTTAGAGCCATTGAAGATGTGTTGAACGAGGCACTGGGCGTTTACGACCTTTCAAAGATTTTCGCTACGTCAAGTTTGGATGTTGGTCCTGACGACGACATCCCTCAGCTGAATGAAGCCTTGCAAGATGCTTCTGCGGAAGGTTATTCAAAGGATGAAACATTGAAGGATGGCAGTGTCAAACGTGCTCAAGCTGTTTCGTTGTTACTGCAATTATTGTCCCGTGTGAAGAATTGATTGAAGTTCCTTGCTTTTGATAACAGCTAGCGAAGGTTTATTCAGTTTTATGAACTCAGTCTCTTGTTAATTATCGACAAGTTGAGCACATGATGTTGTTCAGGGTGGCTGGAATAACGTCGCCAGGCACAACCTCGTCAGCCAGGTATAATGTCGTCACGAATTAAATTCGTCGCGGAATATCTTCGTCAGGAATAACATCGTCTTTATGTTCTACCTGAGATGTTGGGACTTGAGGAATTTTTTGCTGTACGAGGTTGGTCCAGTTGTGAAGTGCGGGTGTTGGAATTACGACGTTATTCCACCATCCCGTTGTTCACTGATGCTGGTTGACATGCCGCAAAGGAAACATGTTCCGGGAATTCAAGGGAGATCATCAACAAAAATTCGTCGGTCGCTCACTCTGTTCAGAAATGGCTGGGATTCCTCTGAAGGGGATTACAAAAACGTAATTCTTGTTTAAAAAGTGCTGTATTTCGAACTGAGATTGATTTTTGTATTGCTTCCATCAGAACACGCTCAGAGAGGCAATGGTGGGAATATAAGAAGACCAAGCTGAAGAAAGTCCGGTTTGTGGACAAGGTTGAGCTAATTTTCTGTTTCGATGAAACAGGCAAAGAGAGCTGGTGGTGGGAATATTTTGTTTTCCATATAAGGATGAAAAGGAAGCAGAAAACCAAAGGATGGAATATCACTTCCCCCTTGGTTTAAGATACAATTACCTTTGCTTGTTGTGCAAATATCAAATAAAAAAGTGAAGAGAAGACCCACCTTTCTTTGGATAAAGAATTCAAATCAAAAGTGGGAATCATGTTGCAAATTTCTCCTAAATACTTTCTGGTCAACTGAACTTCGTGGTACAGCGAAAAAAATATATGCATTTCAAAAGCTTGAATAAAATTGAGCTCTTCAGTACAGTATTTACATATCTGCTAAACTCCAAAAATGTGGTTGTTTTCTTTCAATAATCATGGGAAATGAATAAATGTGTATAGAAATACATACTGTTAGAAAATTGAAGCATAGAATAATTTTTGCCTAAATTTGAAATGGTAAAACTTGTGCTCTTTAAATTATTTCATCTTTGAGTCCCTGGTCATGTTTTTGAACTAGTGCATTTTTTCTGCCTTCGCCTCCCAAAACTCACCTCCTCGATCCAGCAAGTAAATAACCTTACAATTTTTGACCTCTCCCAAATGCCAGCCAAACTCATCCTGAATTTTTCTGGCTCGCCCAAAGAAATGGCAATCAACACCCTCATGGGTGAACCCACTGCACTCACCTTATGCGGCCCTGATGAGAGAGCTCGAATAACTTCAGAGGCATGTTATCAGTGTTACAGGATCGCCCTCTGTAACTCACTGGCATTTACTGATGCTGATCAGTATGCAGCTAGTGCCAACACAATCCTTATCCTACGTAAGGTTTAAAAAAAAAAGGAAGAGAAATGGATCGCCTGACTCTGCACGCGTGCCTCAAGCAACCGGTGCGATCCGAAATCTCGCAAAAAGGAATTCCTTCCTCCACTGGTTTAAGGTATCAGTTTACAGAGAAACCGTTGCCGTTTACATGTTTTCTTGTTTGGTTTAGGTATGCGATATCGCAAAAAAAAATAAAAACGGAAAACTTATGCTCTGTATGCATCGAATTACAGTACAGACCCAAAAAATACATATGTTTGATGTTTAAAAAAAAGAAAGGATCCTGTTGTACGGTTACTCAGCCTGGCCGAAAGCTGCACAGATCAGTTTTGCGCACGCGCTCAGTGCCATAAAGTCGGAAGGGAACTTTTTGAAAAGAACAACAGCCAGAGAAAAAAAAAATGTTGAACTCAGGCAGTGATTTACTCTTGGATGACAATTTTTCTTGCGATAACTTTGCTGCGCTTTTACTCGCTGTTGACAACACTGCTGGGGTGTGGGAATCTGCTGACAGCCAAGACACCATCAGCAGCAGCTTCAGTGCGCCAGAAACAGTTTTTGACGATTTCTGGTCATTTGGAATCAGTGATGCGGAAACTGATACTTTTTCCACAACGTCTACCATTCAAGACATTTGGGCAGATGTTCCATTTTGTGTTGAAGGTATGGAACATTTTGGGACTTCGCTCTAAATTTTGAGAACCCAATTGTAAAAATTTTTTTCAATGGCAAAAAAAGTAAAAATACTTCAACTCAAGTCCTAATCCTTGGATCCAATCCATTAAGTGGACTAAAGGGAGATAACCCCTACGTAATATAAGTAATAGAATTTAATATCCGTTTTACAAAAATGATGGTAGAAGGATTTAGAGCATAAGGGACTTCAGCCAGTAGTATTTTAAAGTCGTAAGTACAATTTCCAAGAGAGTTTTTTAAATTCAAAAGAAATCATTTGCTCTGACGGATGCTTGTACTGTATATGTGTAGCGCCTTCAATCCCACTCAAGATAAAATAAGTCGACTGAACATGACCTGAAGTAACCCTGCAAAAACCTCACTGGAATTCCAGTACTGTATAACTGAAACCCAATCTGTTGAAAGAAGCCCAATCCTAATCCACAAATTTGTCTTGGATTTTTTTTTCTGTGCTCTGATATTAGGATCTCTATTTGAAATTTCCTGCAGATACAGAATGTTGTCCGCAGGACAACCCTGGAGTTTACTTCGAATTACTTGGACAGAAGACTACCGAGAATACAATTGAAGAGCCCCAATTGTTCCCCAGCTGTTGCAATGGCCAAGAATTTATGGTTGAACACGAATCAGTCCATTTCAGCGATGATCAACTTTCTGCAATCTTGGATCTGCCGCAGATCTTGATTGTAGATACCAATCAGCAGCTTCACAGTGAGTCTTTGCAAAGATATGAAAAATATTCAAACAAATTTGTCCGTTAAACGCTGCTTCAATTTTCCTACTCCGTTGATTAAAGCAGAGCCAAAATAAAAAAAGGAAAAAATCTCAATTTAAGTTTGGAGCATGTTTAATTTATTAATATGTGTCTTTCAAACACTGCTGAATGAAGCAGATCCGAAACCAAGTAAAGGAAAAAATTATAAATGCAAGAGATGGTTCAAAGGGGGTGTCAGTGCTTTGAGCTGACCCAAGTACATTTTTCAAAATCACCCTAAATGCATTTTCAATTTATTAATTTCATCAGAAACTCTTATAAGAATGCCAAAAACTTGGAAAATTGCGTGTCGTTTAAAAATGTTTTGTTGATACATGTGTCTTTGGAACACTGCTGTAATTTTCCTTCTCTGTTGAATAAAGCAGAGCCAAAACAGAAAGGAAAAAATTCTCAATTTTAGGCATCATTCAAAAGTTGTGTCAGTGCTTCGAGCTGACCCAAGTACATATTCCAAAATCACCCCCGATTTGGAGCATGTCTAATTTATTGATTTCATAACAAACTCTTTCAAGAATGCCACAAACTTAAAAAATTGGGTGTCTTTCAGAAATATTAACTTTTATAAATACTTTAATGGATGTGTTTTTCAAACATTGCTGTAATTTTACTACTCTGTTGAATAAAGCAGATCCGAAGCTAAATAAAATAAAACATTTTAAATTTTTGAGATAGTTCCGAAGTTGTGTCAGTACTTTGATCTGTTTTTTTTTACCCAAGTATATTTTTCAGAATCGCCTTGAATATAGAGCATGTTTTATTTATTAATTTATTTAGAACCTGTTTCAAAAACACCACAACCTAGGAAAATCATGTGTCTTTTAAAAAATGTTTCTTTGATGAATATTTCAATGAATGTGCCTTTTAAACACTGCTGCATTTTTTCTGCTCTGTTGAATGAAGCAAATATAAAACCAAGGGAAAGAAAAAATTTTACACCTTGGAGATGGTTCAATAGTTGTGTCACTGCATTGAGCAGACTTTTTTTTTTTTTGTTGCCCAAGAAAATTGTTGATTATCACCTCGAATATGAAGCCTTTTTTTTCATTCATTTCATCAGAACCTGTTTCAAGAACTTCGCAATCTCGGAAAATTGCAAAAAAACGTGGAACAAAAAAGCCTCACAAGAAAACTGCATCTCAACTTATTCGCCGGCATCATCATCCTCACCATCTACGCACACAAGGAAGGGATCGCAGAGATGATTTGGTTTTCAGCTTGCCAAAAAGTTTCCCTTGTTTGCAGCCAAGTTGCGGGAAAATTTATGCAAAATCCTCACACCTCAAGACCCACATGCGAAGACACACAGGCGAAAAGCCTTTTCAGTGCAGATGGGCAGACTGTAGATGGCGTTTCTCCAGGTCTGACGAATTGGCGAGACATTTCCGCTCACACAACGGACACAAGCCGTATTTGTGCAGCCTATGTCCGAAACGATTCTCGAGGTCTGACCATTTGGCCAAACACAAGCGTGTCCATGACAAACAGCAACAACAACTACTCAAACAATCCAAGAATAATGACAGTGAAAGGAAGTTGAGCCAGGGCGCGAACGTTGACAGGGAAATGATTGAAATCAACTTTGTTCTTCCAAATTGAAGATTTGGATCAATCACTTCTTTATTTTGAAGTTCAAGATGAGTGAATTTGTAAATTTGAGTGCCAAATTTCTCAGGAAAATGAGATCCACTTTTACTTTCTACTATAGAATGTTATACAACTATTCTGGTTAAATTTTTGAATTTTTGGCGCCTCAAATTTCTATAAGAAACATGATTACATCATAACTATTTGTGGGACTTTTATCATGTGTTCAGACAAGATGAACTTGAAAATCATACTATTCATCTGTTTGTATACTGTTGTTTGAAATAATTTTCCTTGGAGTCAATCTCTGCTGACATTCTTTTAAAAATTGTGCTATGACATATTTACATTGATCTTGAAATTATGCTTATTTTTTGGCCTGAACAGTGATGCTGAAAACTTTTTTCAAGTGGTCTTTAATTTTAAGAAGCCAGAGGAGTATCAAAAAAGTTCTTCTGTCATTTTTATTGAAGTGAGGGTGTGTTTGTTTGAGTGTAATTTTCAGAACTGTTTTTTTGTTTGTGAGCAAAATGTTGGCATTTACTGATGAGTTCTGCCTTTTTGTTTTGCTGGAGCCGAGCTGTGATACATCAATTAGCCTGATTCTGCACCAGCAGGTGTTTCCAACCTGTGCAAAATGTTGGCATAATAGCTGGATATTGAGATCTGAATACAAAAGAATCACTAACCAACTGACTCAATTCATGTTATGTGTGAGCTTATAATCACTGAAAAGTGCCACAATTTGTTGTGGTTATTCTGCTGGAACACAAACTTTCTAGAATTTGCTTACATTATACAGGTTCCTTACAAGCAGGAACCAGGATTTCTGGTTTCTCAGATGCGGGATACTTGAAAGATGGATGATTTTGTCATTCATGAAGCATTATTGAACCATTTGTGTTATTGTTCTCAAAAATGATGTGCTTGCCAAGAATCAAACTGAAACATTCATATGGTATATAATTTCATCACCGGGTTTTTATTTAATCAAAAATTACTCTGGAATTGCTCTCTGATGTCTCTGCATTGGAAAGGCAAAGAGCATTCCATCGATCAATTTCTTGGAAATATTTTGTGCCTTTATGTCCTTTTTTCCTGAAATTCGAGAAGAAAGAAGCAGACAAGTTTTGAGCCCTGTTTTGGCATATTATATTGACGAGCTTCAAATCTTGATAAGTGAGGTTTTAGTCATTTTTTTAATGACAGCTAATGATACAAAATATCTCAGCTTTCAGGCACAACTACAGTATTGGTCACATTTTGACTAGTGTTTCATGTCATTTGTTTTGTTGTCACCCAAATTCTAGGGGAGGGGAAAGGTGAGAGATTTCTGTGGGCAAGCTTCTTTATTCAAAAATAAAATGAATTTTTCCAAGGGTTCTCACAAGTTGGATGGATGTATCATAAAAGCAGCTTCTATCACGTCTCCATGGCAGGAATTAATTGATTACTGCACTTCAATTTGCATGTGATCTGTCCTAAAATTCACAACTTTTGGAAGTATTTTTTTAAATGCCTTTAACTTATTCATCTAATTGCATATTTTCATTAGAAACATTCTGCTTGGTTTTCATTTCAGTGAATTTGAACACAGCCTCAGCATGCCTCTATATGGAGAAATGTATCATCATCAACTTTAACAACTACAAAGTAATGTAATAATGAATACTGTATGCATTCCATAAAGAAATGGTGGTCAGGAAGGCATTTCATTCTAACTGAGAGAGAAATTGCTGATCTCGCAATTTTTCTATAAATCTGAAGAAATTTTGGAATACAGTATGAAGTGTTCAAAGGTGCAATAATACACCCACAAGTGAGAGTAATGTATTTTGGGCTGGCATTCTTGCTGCTTAATGATAGAACTGTTGGATATCCCAGGTTTTTCAAGCAGGAGTAAAGAAGTAGAATTTACTCTAGCTATAACCAGAAGGGGAAACCGTCACTATCCCCGCGCGACGAAAGCCCGGGACACGAAAGCCCCGCGCGACAATAGCCCTGACACGAAATCCCCGCCATACCCGGGCACAGCTGTAACGAAAGCCCCGCCCGAACTTTTTTTCAAGACTTGTAGTCTTTGGTAGTCAGTTTGGTAGTCGCCGCTGGTTAAACTTCATTACTTTGCTACTGATTGAGGGAAGTACACGAGCTCTTGAAGAAAAACAATGATTTAAAAAAATGAAACAAAACAAATAACAAAAGATTACAAAAAATTCAAAAAAAAAAGAAAAAACGGGGGAAAGTTTTTATTTACAAGAAATTAAGAGTCTTTGAAATATTTTCCAAGAAATCCGAGCATCCAATAAGTGGGCTTTGAAATGCACAATTGACGTGCACAATTGACGCAGTTTTTTTCTGGCGATCTCTCTCAAAAGTCGACACTTGCTAATGTGGAGTGACACCATCTTTGTCAAATTTCTTCAGCGTTGTAGCAACTGATGCAGCATCTTGTTTCAGGCAGCAAATTAATAACCAAATGGTGGGATTTTTCTTTTCAACCAGGCCATTGGAATAGCGATTCCAAGCTTCACTGAAATTGTTAATCGCGCCAAGATCATTGAGCACAGCCTGATGAATGTTCCACTTCTGTGGCGGAAATGTTGGGGTTTATTGTCTGGTGAAAACAACTGAGGCAATTTTTCGGGGCACTTGACTTGATGGTCCCAAAAATGGAAAAATCCCACCATTTGGTTACTAATTCGCTGCCTGAAACAAGACGCTGCATCAGTTGCTACAACGCTGAAGAAATTTGACAAAGATGGTGTCATTCCACATAAGCAAGCGTCGACTTTTGAGAGAGATCGCCAGAAAAAACTGCATCAATTGTGCACAGATTACCAAAGCCGACTTATTGAATGCTCAGATTTCTTGNATTTGACGAAGATGGTGTCATTCCACATAAGCAAGTGTCGACTTTTGAGAGAGATCGCCAGAAAAAACTGCATCAATTGTGCACAGATTACCAAAGCCGACTTATTGAATGCTCGGATTTCTTGGAAAATATTTCAAAGACTCTTAATTTTTTGTAAATAAAAACTTTCCCCCGTTTTTTCTTTTTTTTGAATTTTTTTAAATCTTTTGTCATTTGTTTTGTTTCATTTTTTTAAATCATTGTTTTCCTTCAAGAGCTGGTGTACTTCCCTCAATCAGTAGCAAAGTAATGAAGTTTAACCAGCGGCGACTACCAAACTGACTACCAAAAACTACAAGTCCTGAAAAAAGATCGGGCGGGGCTTTCGTTACAGCTGTGCGCGGGTATGGCGGGGATTTCGTGTCAGGACTATTGTAGCGCGGGGCTTTCGTGTCCCGGGCTTTCGTCGCGCGGGGATAGTGACGGTTTCCCATGTATGATTACATCCACACTTTCGTGTTGAAGCGTTTTACTTCACAGGGATAGAACGCCCCACAGGAAATCACTGCAGCTGTCGTGTTTATTTTTATTTTTTGGAAGATAGGATTAAAGTGAAAGTAACCCTGCCGGTGAAATCCTTTTACCCGGAAATAAAGGCACAACTTTCTTCTTCCTTGACTTTGTACAAAGTAATGAAGTTTAACCAGCGGCGACTACCAAACTGACTACCGAAGACTACCAGTCCTGAAAGAAAGTTCGGGGCTTTCGTTACAGCTGTGCGCGGGCATGGCGGGGATTTCGTGTCAGGGCTATTGTCGCGCGGGGCTTTCGTGTCCCGGGCTTTCGTCGCGCGGGGACCCCGTTACAAACCCCTGGAAGGGATGATGTTGAGCCTTTTAGGACCGAATTGAAACACATTCCCGCATTACCAAGTACCGTTTGGATTCTGTATTGCAGAAAGGTTCGTGTCTCAGTATGATATAGGTTGTGACGAATCTCATGATAAGCTAATGCTGTACATAAATAATGGGTATTACACATTAAGTGTTCAACACATATTCTACATCGGGGGGAAATATCCATTTTCTCTTGTCCAAATCCAGGGGGGCACTTGAAAACTAAACACATCTTTTCGAAAGGTCTGGTGCTTCAATCTTCCGTCATCATCGCCAAAGGCAAATTAATGAGGGTTGAAAAGGATTATCCCCCACAGCTCCGTTTTTGCTTGGCATCATGTTTCCCAGGCAAAAACCTTTCACTCGAAAATTATCTAATTTTAAAAACATCCAACACCAACAGTCCTTCTCAAGGTCTGTCAAAGCCCCAACCGCTGAACTGGGATTACACCTTTCTGTGGAATGCAGCTTCACAAGGACAACGGAACATTTCTGGTCATGGACCATTTCACCAGCACGGGGTATAAATGGTGCAGTGTTGGACAGGGTCTCCCTCAGTGTGCATCTGTATTTGAGAAGGTGTTGCAGTAGTGCTGTACCATATTTTTCCGGATACATGTAAATGGTTGTGTTCAGCCGCATTTAAGTGAGTGAGAATTCTATTTCCGTGATGCAGGTCTTCTCTTGACTGGCAGAAGTGATGATTAGCGGCCGACATTTCGAGGAAGTCTCCAGTGGATGATAATTAGGTAAATTAATCTCAGACAAAACTTCACTCTTCATTGCAGTTTAAAGTTAACCCGCCTTTTTATGCCCTGTGAATTTTCTACTATAGATAAGCTTGAAACGCGAAATAATTGTAACTTCATGTGTATGAAGTACAGTTCTGATGTGCCGGCATCATTGAGATGTCAACCATAAAAGGCTCAATTCATACTTCAAGTGCATCCATTTGTGACTCCTTCAGGGAATCATTTGTTTTTGCTTCCTCATGGGATGAATTGTTGAGCGTCAGCTGCCAAAAATGTGTTCACATTATAGTTTTCTACCATGTACCTCATGATCATAATTCTGAATCTGTGCGTTCATATACAAATAGTATTTTGCCTATAGGTATTACAACTTTCCCCGTGCGTGATGGTAATCGTAATTCATAATAAGACATATTTATTGTTATATACTTACATAATAATAATGATGTTCTTCTGGAGAAATTAGCGTCCAACAATGACCATTGGCTACTGTACATTTTCTTCGTTTTGTGTGGTATATTATGAAGTTTTCTGGAAGCACATTTTCTTCATTTAAATTTTTGGCATTCTTGTTCATTCAAAATGTGAACTCAACCAATGGAATATAACCAGGGTATGTTCTCGAGTCTAATACTGCATGTAATGGTATTTGCTGTACACATTCAGCATTTTTATGAATTTTTGTTAAAGAAAGTTCAAGAATTGCATTGCATATACTATATGTTCATATACTGCATACACTAGAGAATATGGCTTGCTCTGATGTTCCTGGGGTCATCTAGCCATTCATCTTTCTGTGATATTCAAACATAAACAGATGGCACATGAGGCCTTGATGTGGATTCCAAGTTGTTGACATGTAAGCAGGCAAACACTTAGAAAAGGAATATCTTCCTTCATGATTGTGCTGTGCAGAGAATATTCTTCCCAAAAAATTTTGCAGAGCTTCAAAGGACTGCAGCTAGAAAGTGGTGATCCACATTGCTGAAGGCATTCACCTATTTTATGATGAGAACCAAATATGATTTTTATTCCTGAAGTGAAAAAGTTCATCTGATCAGCAGAGTCAAATTTGGACATATTGAATATTTTCAACATTCTTTGCATCATGAAAGAGCTTCAATGCACTTACCCACTGTAGACTTGCTTGCCGGTAGTGTTCTGAGGTGCTTTATTTCTGTCCTCTGTTCCTCATACTCTTCCAGTAGATGATGTATGTTGAGAAAGAAGGATTTTTTACAATATTGCTGTCACAACTCATGAAAACTTCCATGATACTTTGTACAATTAGTCTGAGAAACTTGGTGCACAAAAGGAAAAATGTGTGCCAAAGAAAAAAGCTCAAAATTATGAA